ATCTATCTATCTATCTATCTATCTATCTATCTATCTATCTATCTATCTATCATGTATACAGTGTTCTGCCAGCATGTGCCTGCAGGCCAGAAGAGGGTGCCAGATCTCATTACAGATGGTTGTGAGCCACCTTGTGGTTGCTGGGAACTGCACTCAGGACCTCTGGAAGAGCAGCCAGGGCTCTCAACCTCTGAGCCATCTCTCCAGCCCCAAGAGTTAACTTTTAACCGTTAACACTAAGCCAGCAAGTGCCTTTCCCCCTGCTGAGCATGATCTCTCTTGTTTCACGGGGGCGCGTGCTGCAGAGCAGCTGGCTTGAGAGCTTCTGGCTGGTGCTCCTGTCTCCTCCTCCCGTCTTGATGTAGCAGATGTGGGCCCCTGCACCCAGTGTTTTCTGTGGGCACCAGGGTTTGAACTTGGGTCATCAGGTTTGTGTGGCAATCTCCTTTGCTCACTTCGCCATCTTTCTGGCCTCCGGGCACACTTTGAAGTCATAGGAGTTTCTTGCATTTATCCAGTGAGACTTTGAAGTGTTTTGTGGAGTAGATGGGACATGGGCATGAGGACCATGGCAGGGCTCTGCCGGAAGCTGTTCCTCATTTGGAGGAAGCTGGGCTCAGAAGTGTCTCATTGACTGATGGGGAAGAGTGTGTGGTCTGGCTGTAGTCTGCTGAGAGGAGCGAGGTGCTAAAAGAAGAGTTCCAGGGTAGCCTTGCTGCATTAGCAGCCCTCAGTGAGTTGTGTGGGTGTGCTAGGGATTAGGATGTGTGCTCATGTGGTCCTACAGAACCAGCATAGCCAGCCAATAAGACTGGAGCCTTCGAGATTAGATCTTGCTGTGCTGCCTAGGCTATTGTCAAATTTACAGGTTCAAGCTGTTTTCCTGTTCAGCCTGCTAAGTAGCAGGTAGCGTAGGCCCACACTGCCGTGCCTGACTGATTTGTGTGTATATGTGCTTGTTTGCGAGTGTGGGGGTGCGTGTGGAGGCCCTAAATCAATGTTGTGTGTCATCCACAAGCACTCTCTACCTTAGGGGAAAAGATTTCATTAATTTTTTAAAAGGTTTATTTCTTTGTCACATATACAGTGTTCTGTCTGCGCATATAGCTGCATGCTGGAGGAGGACACCAGATCTCATTATAGACGGTTATGAGCCACCTCATAACCGTGGGGTGCTGGGAATAGAACTTCCAGGATCTCTGGAAGAGCAGCCAGCAGGAGTACTCTCAACCTTTGAGCCATCTCTCCAGCCCCAACTAATGGTTTTTGAGACAGGATCTCATTATGTAAACCTATGGCCTTTAACTCACAGAGCTCCTCCTGCCTCTGCCTCCTGAGTGCTTGGGATTAAAGGTGTGTCCACCACACTCAACGTCTTTTTTGTTTTTTAAGAATTTGTTTTATGTGTTGCTTGCGTGGATGTATGTGTACCGTGTGTGCGCAGTGCCCACAGAGGTCAGGAGGGTTGGCTCCCTTGGAGTGAGCCATCGTGTGTGTGCTGAGAGTGTGTGTGTGTGTGCTGGGTCCCGTCAGAGCAGCCAGTGTCCCTAACAGCTGAGCCATCATCCCTCCAGCCCCTCCACCTCGCTGAACCTCCCTGAGCCTGTTAGGCTGGCTGTGCATGCACCATCAGGGACCCTTCTGCCGGGATTGCAGCTGCAGGCTGCCACTCTGGGCTTTTAACGAGGCCGCTGGGGGTCCAAGCTCAGGGGCTCCTGCTTGCATGGCAAGCTCCTCACTAGTCAGCCATCTCCCCAGAGAACAAGAGAGACTGCCAAGGTCATGCTGGCAAACCTGGCACCGAAATCCAGGCTGAGAACTGCCTGGCAGTTGGAAGGAAGACTCAGGAGACAGGAAGTTGTTGGTAAACCTTAAAGGTAGTTGTTGTTGTTTTCCAAGACAGGGTTTCTCTGTGTACCCTTGGATGTCCTGGACTCACTTTGTAGACCATGCTGGCCTCATAGAGATCCGCTTGCCTCTGTGCCCAAGTGCAGGGATTATTAGCGTGCGCCAGGCTCCTTGTTGGCTTTTGTTGGGATGGGTGTAGCCCGAGCTGAGCTGCCCTTTGCTTTGAAATCCTGCCTCATCCTCCTAGGTGCTAGGATGGCAGACGTGTGCCACACACAGGTACATGGGGTAGTTCTCAATTTATGGTCTTGTTTTTTTGCTCTGGGACAACAGGGGCTCTGGAGAAGGGAGTTTCTGTGGGGTTGGAGATGAAAGCTGAGCTTTGAGCTCTGAGGGAGCCGAGTCACTTGGAAGAGTAGAATGAGTGTGTCCCGGGGCAGTGCCTTTGTCACTGTGGTGAACCGTGAGGCCCTTATTGTCATTCAGGCTCTTTTTAGTTTTTTCCAGTTTTTCTTCCTTCCTTCTTTCTTCCGTTCTTTCCTCCCTCCTTCCCTCCTTCCTTCCTTCTTTGTCTCTGTCTGTCTGTGTTTGTATGCGTGTGTGCATAGGCCTGTGGTTATGGGTGCAGAACCATGCCTGGCTTCTCAAAGTCTCTAGCCAGCTTTGGAATGTCATAGTTCTAAGCCGATCACGGTCCATTCAAGCTGCCACAAGTGAACCCCGGCAGGAGCCTGCTGTCAGCAGGGAGGATGGGTATGGCCCAGAGTGGCTGTGATTCGGAGGAGAGCTGGCCTGGTGCTGTGCTTTTTTTCTTAGGCAGTAGAGAAAACAAATCCTTGATCTGCGGAGATGGCTCAGTCAGTCTAGTGTTTACTGTGCAGCCGTGAGCCAAGTCTGCATTTCCAGCAGCCCATACAGAGCAGTGGGGCATGTCTGTGTCTGATCCCACGCCAGTGGGGCAGAGCCGGGTGGGTCTTGGGTCAGATGAGCTCCAGAAAATCAGGATGGAGATGTGAGAAGACACCCCCTGTCCCTGTCCACTTTGGCTTTCATGTTACCCACACCCTTATACAATACACACACACAGAGGTGCAAACAAGGAAAGCTGTCTGCAAGATAGAAGTAATAGTGCACACCCATAATCCTAGCTGGCACGCTCTCTCTCTCTCATTCCTGCTGTCTGAGACAAGGTCCTGTTGCTTAGCTTTGGCTAGCCTGGCACTCAGCATGTAGACCAGGATGGCTGGTGTCTTGACATACAGCATGCAGGAAGGGTGATCTGAGGACATGCTAAACTGAGTGGAGGAGTGAGCTCGGTTCTTGCAGTTCATGTTTTTTTTTTTTTTAAGGGGCTGGGATGTAGCTGCAGGTTAGAGCCCTTGCCTACAATCCGGGAGGTCCCTCTTCTACTCCCAGTACTACAGATACAGAAACAACCAACCCTCGGGAAGGGAGGCAGGAGCATCAGTCATTGAGCTCATCAGTGCCTACCTACCTGAGACTCTGTCAATCAAAGAAAACACAGACAAGCCAACAAACAGGGCAGGGGGATGGTACAGTCGCTAAGATACCAAGCCTGAAAGCTGAATGCTTTTTCTTTTTTTAAGACACGATTTTACTGTGTAGCTCTGGCTGTCCTGGAAATCGCTCTGTAGACCAGGCTGGCCTCAAACTCACAGAGATCTGCCTGCTTCTGCCTCCCACATGCTGGGATTAAAGGTGTGCATAACCACCAGCTGACAATTTTTAATTCTTTCTTTCTTTTTCTTTCTTTCTTTCTTTCTTTCTTTCTTTCTTTCTTTCTTTCTTTCTTTTTTTTTTTTTTGTCTTTTCGAGACAGGGTTTCTTGTCCTTGAACTCACAGTAGTCTGCCTGCCTCTGCCTTTCTGAGTGCTGGGATTAAAGGTATGTGCCACCAAGGCTGGCTAATTTGTGTGTGTGTATGTGTGTGTCTGTTCTGGGGTATATGTATATGATTGTAGTTGCCCACAGAAACCAGAAGAGACCGTCAGATTTCTTGGAACTGAAGTTGCAGGCGGTCAGGAGCCACCCAGGATGGGTGCTGGGAACTGACCTCTGGTTTGTGGCAAGAGCAACTCGCACTGTACCCTGGGAGCCATCTCCCAGCTGTGACAACTTAGTTCTATCCCCAAGGCCTACATAGTGGCTAGGGGAACCAATTTCCATAACCTCACAGGTTGTCCTCTGACTTCCCCGACTCCAGGCTCGTGTGCACTGTCTCTGTCTCTGTCTCTGTCTCTGTCTCTGTCTCTCTCTCTCTCTCTCTCACATACACACACACATATACAGGTGTACAAAACCAGAAATAAAATTCAGCATGGCCTGTACTTGCAGAGCTTGCTCAGTGTCTTGCGCAGATGAGCGCTGCTGCCCGGGTCAGTGTGTGTGGGAAGCAGAGTGGCAGCAGGGCGGCAGGGTCTGCGCCCTGTGTGCGGTGAGTGCTGTCACTGGGAAAGGCTGTGGTGGCTCAGTTCGCCCAACACGCGTGAAGCCCTGGGTTCCATTCCCAGCACGGGGAAAATTGGGCCTGGTGGTGCGTTCCTGTGATCCCAGCCCTTGGGAGGTGGAGACAGGAGGATCGTGAGGCCAGGGTCACCCTCGGCTAGTCTGTGGTCAGTCTGGGCTACATGAGACACGGTTAAAAAGGAAGGACGGAAAAGGGAGTAGAAGTCATTGTGGAGAGCCAGGCATGGTGGCATTTGTCCCGGCACCATGTCCACGCTCAGGCTGGGCTACATAGAAAGTTCAGGGGCAGCCTGGGCTACACAGCAGGTGCTGTCTAAACCCAGGAAGAGCCAGAACGCTTGGTCCTTGGCTGAAGGAGGCCATCATTGTTCTTCCTCACCTTGTCTGCTGGTTTGCAGTTCTGAGAGGGGATTCTGGGAAACTGTTCTCTGCCGTGCAGTGAAGTTGGTAAAACTTCTCAGCTGTGGGGGCAGGGCCCCCTGTGCGTGCATCCCCGGCGCTGGGCTGCCAGGCGCATGCTGTCCACCTGACACAGCGTTTTTTGTGGGTGCTGGGGATCCAAACTCAGGTCCTTTCGCTTGTCCAGCCAGCATCTCAAGACAGGCCCGCCCTCCTCCGCTGCCCCTCCCTTCCAGGACATGTCCAACGATGACGATGCTGCCCCCACAGCGGCAGAGGCGGCAGGTGACACCCATCTGCTGGGCTTCTCGGATGAAATCCTGCTGCACATCCTGAGCCACGTCCCCAGCACAGACCTGGTTCTCAATGTGCGGCGCACGTGCCGGAAGCTCGCGGCCCTGTGCCTGGATAAGAGCCTGGTGCACACCGTGTTGCTGCAGAAGGACTACCAGGTGCGGCGGGCGGGCAGGCGGGAGCAGGGCCAGCCTATGGGTGCGGGGACAGGCCCTGCTGGCCGCACAGAAGGCCGCGTGGCCGGGAATGGGCATCGGGACACGCTGAGTGACAGAGCCAGGGAGGAGCAGGGTAGGTAGGGGGTGTGCCTCTCGGCACCAGGTCGTAGTGCAGGTACAGGTTTTAAACTTGGAATGCTCCTGCCTCAGCCTCCCGGGTCTTGGGACGACAGGCGTGTGCCCCCCGGCCCTGCTAGCAAACATCTTTCACTTTTTGTTGTTGGGAGCGGGGCTCCCTTGACTGCTGGCGGTGATAGGTGTGTGGGAGAGCAAGGCCAGGCCGCGTCCCTCTGGGCAGGAGCCGGGAATAGCCAGGACACCTGTCTCCCGCCCGTCCCCTTCTGCAGGCCAGCGAGGACAAGGTGAAGCAGCTGGTGAAGGAGATTGGCCGCGAGATCCAGCAGCTGAACATGGCGGGCTGCTATTGGCTGTCGGGCTCCACCATCGAGCACGTGGCCCGCTGCCACAGCCTGGTAAAGGTGAACCTGTCCGGGTGCCACCTCACCTCCCTGCGGCTGTCCAAGGTGCTCTCGGCCCTGCAGCACCTGCGCTCGCTGGCCATCGACGTGAGCCCTGGCTTCGATGCCAGCCAGCTGAGCAGCGAGTGCAAGGCCACGCTGAGCCGCGTGCGCGAGCTCAAGCAGACGCTCTTCACGCCGTCGTACGGCGTGGTGCCCTGCTGCGCCAGCCTGCAGAAGCTGCTGCTCTACTTCGAGATCCTGGACCGCACGCGCGAGGGCGCCGTCCTGTCGGGCCAGCTCATGGTGGGCCAGAGCAACGTGCCGCACTACCAGAACCTGCGCGTCTTCTACGCGCGCCTGGCGCCGGGCTACATCAACCAGGAGGTGGTGCGGCTCTACCTGGCGGTGCTCAGCGACCGCACGCCCGAGAACCTGCACGCCTTCCTCATCTCCGTCCCCGGCAGCTTCGCCGAGAGCGGCGCCACCAAGAACCTGCTGGACTCCATGGCCCGCAACGTGGCCCTGGACGCCCTGCAGCTGCCCAAGTCCTGGCTCAACGGCTCCGCCCTCCTCCAGCATATGAAGTTCAACAACCCCTTCTACTTCAGCTTCAGCCGCTGCACGCTGTCGGGCGGCCACCTCATCCAGCGCGTCATCAACGGGGGCAAGGACCTGCGCAGCCTGGCCAGCCTCAACCTCAGCGGCTGCGTGCACTGCCTGTCGGCCGACTCGGCGCTGCGGAAGGCGGAGGACGACATCGACAGCGGCATCCTGGAGACGCTGGTGGAGTCCTGCTGCAACCTGCACCACCTCAACCTCTCCGCCGCCCACCACCACAGCCCCAACGGCCCGGGCCGCCACCTCTGCCAGCTCCTGGCCCGCCTCCGCCACCTGCGCTCCCTGTCCCTGCCCGTGTGCTCCGTGGCTGATTCGGCACCCCGGCCCGATCGGGCCCCCGCCCCGCCGGCCATGCACGCCGTGCCCCGGGGCTTCGGCAAGAAGGTGCGCGTCGGGGTGCAGACGTGCCCCAACCCCTTCGCCGGCCAGTCGGCCCCGCAGCCCGCCTCGGTGTTCTGGGCCCTGCTGAAGACGCTCCCGTTTCTGGAGCACCTGGAACTGATCGGCTCCAACTTCTCCTCAGCCATGCCCCGCAATGAGCCCGCCATCCGCAACTCCCTCCCGCCCTGCAGCCGGGCGCAGAACGTCGGGGACTCGGAGGTGGCCGCCATCGGCCAGCTGGCCTTCCTGCGGCATCTGACGCTAGCCCAGCTGCCAGGCGTGCTGACAGGCTCCGGACTAGTGAGCATCGGCCTGCAGTGCCAGCAGCTGCAGTCCCTGTCGCTGGCCAACCTGGGCATGATGGGGAAGGTGGTGTACATGCCCGCTCTTGCCGACATGCTGAAGCACTGCAAGCGGCTGAAGGACCTGAGGTGAGGAGCTGAGGTAAAGGTTAGAGGACCTGAGCTGAGGGGCTGAGCTGAAGGGGCTGAGGGGCTGAAGTAAAGGTTAGAGGACCTGAGCTGAGGGGCTGAGGTTTGAGGGGTTGAAGTTAAAGGGCAGAGGACCTGAGGTGAGGGGCCAAGGGCCCGAGGTGGGGACCTGAGGTGCGAAGAGCGGAAGACCTCAGTTTTCTCTAGGGCTTCTAAGGTTTGCAGATGCAATCAAGGTGCAAGTAAGGTGGAGCTTAGAGCCAACACGGGCCTGCCCTGGAGATCAGAGGCAAGAGGGGCCTTAGTGTCTGCAGGGATGGCCTCTGGAGGCTGGGGTCATGGCACAGAGGCAGGGCTCTGGAGTTCAGCATCTCATCTCCTCACACTTACGTGACCCCCAGCTTCGTTTATTCCACAAAATGCTACTTCATGTACAACCTATGGTCTTAAAAACATTTTTTTAGATTTATTTCCATGTAAGTGTGTGTTTCGCCTATATGCACATCTGTGGCACCACATGTTGTTGTGAGCCACCATGTGGGTGCTGAGAGCCAAACCTGGGTCCTCTGGAGCTGCAGCCATTGCCCCTAATCGTTGAGCCATCTCTGCAGGGCTGTGCCCCATTTCCCGCAGCTTCTTTTGAGACAAGGTCGCACTATGTCTCCTGGCTGGGCTGGAATTTACCGTATATAACAGACTTGAATTCACGGATTTACCCCTGTTTCTGCCTCCTGAGTGCTGGGATTAAAGGTGTTCTCCACTATCCCCACCCTCAAATTTTGTTATTATTGTGTGTGTGTGTGTGTACATAGAGCATATCTGGAGGCTAGAAGAAAAGTTTTCGGAGTTCTGTCCTCCCACCTTCATATGGTCCTGAGGGTTGAGTGGAAGCCTGTAGATTTCCCCATCATGTGCCTTAACCCCTTGAGCCATCTCCCTTTTCCACACCTTATTTCCTCAGACAAGGCGTCTCACTAGGACTGATCATTTGGCTGGCCAGTGAGATCCCAGGGGTTAGAGACAAGTGTGGCCTGCCTGGGCTTTACAAGGTCGCTCGCTGGGGATTTGAACTCAGTTTCTAATCTTTGCTAGCAAGCGTTCTTACCCACCCAGCCTTTCCCAAGGCCGCTCAGTGATTCTTGGAGGGTGTGAGGCAGTTGGCTAGGGGCTTCAGGACGTATGCCAGCATGTGACTTGAGTTCCAAGGCAGCTTGGGTTGTAGCAGCAAGATCCTCTTCCTCAACAAAGCCAGAAGCACAGAGCATGACAGTCCGCTTTGACCTCCTTGATTCAAAGCAGCAGGGTGTCGCAGGCGGGGGGGGGGGGGGGGGGGGGCAAGAGGTGCAGGCCAAGGGGTGCTGAAGGCCTCAGCAGGGAGCTGCTGCCGGTGGCCTGTGGGGGACAAGAGCAGGCAGGATGGGGAAGCATCATCTCAGGGAGGAACTCCGACGTCCAGGAGTGGTGACCTTGAGGACGGTGGCAGGACCCTTCCTGGAAACAGGGAGGAAATAGAGCACACAAGCCTCAGAGGACCCTGCCGTGGGCACTGTTCTTGAGGAGCATCGAAGGTTCAAGACCTGCCTGGGCAACTCAGCAAGACCCTGTCTTGAAATAAAAGCTTTATGAAAGGCTTGTTGCTCAGTGGGAGAGTGCTTACTTGGCTCAAGACCCTGGGTTTAACTCCTGATATAAATTTCCTGGTGTTTCCAGAGCAAGCATGGAGTAGCTTCACCCTGAACACACTGTGAAATATGCCCTTTGTTACCACCCAACATTTAATGGATAAGAATTCTGTGTGTCCCAGCATGACTTGGGAAGCAGACACAGGTGGATCTCAGTGTGTTTGAAGCCAGTCTGAGTTATACAGTGAGTTCTAAGCCAACCAGGGCTACATAATAAGACCCTGTGTCAAAAGCCTAAAAGGGGGGGGGGGCAGATTATTTTGTGGTGCTATGAACCGAACATGGAACACACACAGGTCTTGTTCCTCTACCTCTGAGCCACACCCCAGCCCCTCACTGGGGGCTTCTAGGCAGGTGCTCTACCTCTGAGCCACACCTAGTCCTTGGATTTTTTTGAGATAGGTTCTGTCTAGCCCAAGATGGTCTCTAACTGATGGTCTTTTTACCTCATCTGTAATTCCAGGAATGCACCCCACAAACAGTGAGGGCCTTGCATATTCTAGGGAAGCACTCTACCATTGAGCTCTCTCTCTAGCTCTTTTTACTTTAAGCAACTTGCTCAGGCTTGTCTTGAACTCACCCTCATCCAGGAAGGCCTTGGACTCCTGATCCTCCTACCTCAGCCCCCAGAGCATTTGGGATCACAGGTGTGTCCCATCAGGCCTTGATTGTAAGATTGTAAGCTTTTTTTTTTTTTTTTTTTTTCCCTTCTGGGACAAGGTCTCACGCATCCTAGGCTGGCCTCACCCTTTCTGTGTAGCTGAGGGGAACCAGACTCTGATTGTCCCGCCTCTGCCTCTCAAGTGCTGGGACTACGGTGTGCTTCTCTGTTCTAGGGCTGTGCGGGACATACCATGTGGTGAAGCCCCAGGTTCTGGGCAGGCAAGAGGGGGTGGGGCTTAGGGACCCTGCCAGTCCATAGCTGTTTCGGGGTGGAGGCTACAGAGGGGCCACAAGTCATGTCTCAGCCTAAAGGGGCTCGATGTGGCTGCTCCTCTCCCCAGTACAGCTACTGCCTCTTTGGTGCCTGTCTAGGTTACTGTGGCTGTGATGAAGAGCCATGGCCAAAGGCAACTGGAAGAGGAAAGAGGGCTTTTTTGGCTTATGCCTCTATCTCCCTGTTCCTCACCGAAGACAGACAGGACAGAAGGCAGTCAGGGCGGGAACCTGGAGGGCAGGAGCTGATGCAGATGCCATAGAGGGCTGCTTCTCACTGGCCTGCTCAGCCTGCTTTCTTGTAGAAAGGACTGCTGTGCTAGGAGTGGGACCACCCATGATGGGCTGGGCCCGCCCACAGCAATCACTAATCTGGAAAAAAAAAAAAAAAAAAAAGCCCTACAGATTCATCTGCTTGCAGCTGGAGGCATTTTCTCAATTGAGGTCTCCTTCCCCAAGATGACCCTAGCTTGTGTCAAGCTGACATAAAACTAGCCAATGCAGTGGCTGTGCCAAGGTCTAGGCACAAAGATGACCTTTCCCCCACGACATCCATGGCTGCCGCTGTGGAAGCTGGAGCGGGAATCCTCTCCCCTGTCACTCCAGGCCAGACCTTTGCTTTGGCTTCAGGACCCACAAGGGAGGACAGGGGGAAGACAGGCCATGTCCTTTGCTTTTGTTCCCGCCCCCACCCTCCAGCTTCAGTGTGACAGAAAGTAGCCCATCCTGTGCTGCTCACTTCCATAGCTGCTTGGCGAGGCTGTGAGCTCTTTTCTGTCCTCCTTGGAGCACAGCCATTCTGAGGTTCTCTGTGTTTTCTGCCCCATCTGGTCACCTGCCCTGCTGCTCCAGCTCCGTGCTCAGCCGAGCAGACCCATAGCCCAGGTGGCCTCTGTGGACAGGAGTGGACAACCTTGCCTGGTGTCTGTGGGGGGATCCTGTGCCTTCCCTCCCCTTGATACTTGTGCTAGCAATCTGCTTGTGGGCTTTCTTCCTCCCCCAATGTGGAGCTCCTCATCAGTTAATTGCGGTGCCATGTGCCTGAAGTCCCCCAACTCAGGAGGCTAAGGCCTGAGTTCAAAGTCAGCCTGGGCTGAAACTCTGTCTTCAAAAGCAGCCCCCCCCCCAAAAAAAAAAAAAAAAAAAGAAAAAGAAAAAGTCAGCCACATGTAGTGACTGCACGCCTGCCTTATATCCTGGCATTCTGGGGGCAGGCGTTCAGGGTCAGGGTCATCCTTGGCCCCATAGTGACTTTGCAGCCAGTCTGGGCTACATAGACCCTGTCTTAGCAGCAACAAAAATAGGACAAAGTTACTGAAAGCCTTGGCTCCCCTCTGCATTAATGAAAGCTGTAGCTGCAGCCGGCACAGCAGCCGTCCCTCCTCCATCCTCACATCTGCCTTTTTGCATTTCCTAGGCGTACAGACGGATGCTCTTCTCCTTGGCTGCGTCTCTCTCCCTGTGGCCACCGGGCCTCTGTTTCCTTACCGCTTCCTTTGTGGTGTCTCTCAACACTTGTGTCTTCCTGTGCCTTTCCTGTCACACCTCTGGCCTTTCCTGAAGCCAGTTAGTGCATGCATGGCCATTGTTTGCCAGAATTGCAGCTGTATCACAGACACAGACCTGGGCTGGGTGCGCAGCTCGGTCAGTACAGGGCTTGCCTGGCACATGAGGTCTTAGGTTCCATCCTCGGTACCACATGAACTGGGTGTGGTGACACACACCTGTGAAACCAGCATTGGAAGGTGGGCAGAAGGAAGAGGAATAGAAAGTCAAGGTTATCTCTCCTTAGGTACATGTTTTGGCCAGCCTGGGCTGTATGAGTCTGTTTCAGAAAAAAAAGAGATAGAGAGAGGAAAGAAGGAAGGAAGGAAGGAAGGAAGGAAGGAAGGAAGGAAGGAAGGAAGGAAGGAAGGAAGGAAGGATCCGAGAACATCTTTGGTGGCTGTCTCCTTTGCTGGGCCCTCACTGTTGCCTACTTCTATGATTAGGATCATTTCATAAAATCAAGGAGCCCAGTGAACCTTTGACTCTTTCAGAGCCAAGATCTTTCTGGACCTTGCTGTCTTGCTGCCAGTGTTTGTTTTCCACCGGTCCATCAGGCTTGTGTTTTTGCAGGAGGTGTGGTGGTGCACACCTATAATCCCAGCTCTTGGGAGGCTGAGTTGGGAGGATGGTGAGTTCCAGGCCAGCCTGGGCTATCTATTGGTTTGTCCCTGGGACCTGCATTCTCCCCAGAAGCAGGACTGTGTGTGCATCGTCATAGGCCTGCAGGCCCTGGATAAATTCGTCCTGTAGGTCTCCCTGACAGCTTGATGACAGTTGATAGCATGTCTCTGCCCAGGCCCCAGCCTGCGCCCACAGCCGCAGAACCATCTGCTGTGTAAGGTACTGCCTGTTCTGAACAGGCGCAGGCTTCCAGAACACAGCCAAATGGCCCTGTTCCCCTGGACTGCTGCCTCCTGAGGCAGGCGAGCCCAGGGGTGCTGCAGCAGGTGGCAGGCGCCAGCTGAAGGCTCAGGAGGCTCTGCTCGCTCTAGAGCTGCTTCCTGAGGCTACGGGGGCTGCAGGGCGCTTGCATTTTTCGGGGGAGTGTTCCGATGGCAGCCCTGGGAATCCCAGGCTCACCTGCTGCCGCCTCCATCCCAGCCTGCCTCAAACCTGAGCTTGTCTCAGCCAGGCTCCCTGTGGGGTGGAGGTGCCACCGGGACAGGTTGTTCTGGCTGTGGGTTTGGGGCGTGCCCCTGCTGTGAGCGGCTCACGTGTCAGGCAGAACAGAGTGCCACTTTTCCCACGGCTGGAGGCGGGGTATTACCCTGAGTCACCCTTCGCAGCCTGGGCGGAAGCAGGAGAGCTGCTTGAGCCAGGTCTGGCACGGTCTCAGGAATACCTTTGAGCTGTGCTTCTGCCTTATCCTGCATGGCTCAGAGTGTAGCATCAGAGGGGACGGGGCAGTCACCCCAGAGAGCAGCGTGGGGGTGGGAGGTCTGATTCCCAGATGGCTGGGAGTTTGAGCCATCTGGGAAGGGGTCAAGTTGGAATGAAGTCCAGTCTGGGTAGATTCCATCTCCTTGTTCCCTGCCTGCCGTCAGGTGCCTTAGATGGCACGCACCCACATTAGGTCAGTACCTCAGCCGTGCTGGGTACTGTGACCCAGTCACCCCGCCAGTGCTCATTACTCACACCAGGTTGAACTCTGTGACAGATGACATCTTTCAGGGCAAGGTTATGTAAGGGGCTATCTAGTTGGGAAAAGGTTTAAAAGTATGCGCAGGACATATTGCATAACTCAGTTGGCCTGGGGACGCTGGGTCTTAGTGCAAGTCCATACTGCCACCTAGTGGTGGAGCTGGCAGCTGCTGCCTGGTCCATCCCCTGCTGTGGGGAGCATTGGGGATGGTGGGGACACACACACACACACACACACACACACACACACACACACACACACACAGCCTGGGCCCATGGAGAGGTGGCTCAGTCGTTAAGAGCATATACCAGAGGACCTGGGATTCAGTTCAAGGGGATCTGATGGCCTCTTCTACCATCTTTGGGTACAAGCCACACATGTGGCACACATGCATGCAGGAACTCACACATACTTGTATTAAATATCAATAATTTTTAGAAATATAATAAGGGAAGAATCAGTTACAAATTCCAATGTGGAAAACAGAACAAAACTCCAACGTGGCCACCAGGGTGGTGCACACCTTTAATCCCAGCACTCAGGTGGCAGAGACAGGTGGGTCTCTGAGTTGGAGGCCAGCCTGGTCCACAGAGCGAGTCCAGCACAGCAGGGCTCTGTTACACAGAGAAACCCTGTCTCAAAAACCAAAACAAAATTGAAATGTCAATGTCGCTGGGGTCTCCTTGGGTGACAGAGGTGACTGGGACCCTTGGTGAAGAAGCAGCCGCCCTGGGGCCTCTGGCCTGCTCTGTGTCTAGGAATGGCAGCCTCCCTTACCTGGAGCCTGTGTGGTGGGGCTTGTACTCCGGGCCGATGACAAGGCGCTGGCCTCAAAGCCCGAGCCGCTTCTTTCCCTTCCTGCCCCTTTCCCAGCCACTCCGGCCCGCTGGACCCCCACCTTCTTCTGCCTGGGTTGGCTGATCCAGCTCCGCCATCAGACCGGCTCCCCAGCATCACGTGCAAACCCTCACAAGGCAGGCGGGTGTGACAGTACAGGGCCAGGTGGCAGACCGAGGGAGGGAGGCGGACAGCCTTCAGTGCATGATGGCAGGGTCTGTGGACAGCGGCCAGCGCGCCTCACCCGGAGTCCAGGGCTCGGGGGCCGAGCCCCAGCACCCACGCCCCTCTCTCCGCAGGCTGGAGCAGCCCTACTTCAGCGCCAATGCACAGTTCTTCCAGGCGCTGGGCCAGTGCTCGTCTCTGCAGCGCCTGTGCCTGGTGTCCCGCAGCGGCACGCTGCAGCCGGACGCCGTGCTGGCCTTCATGGCCCGCTGCCTGCAGGTTGTCGTGTGTCATATGTTCACGGGAGAGTCCCTCACCACCTGCAAGAGCCTGCAGCAGTCGCTCCTCCGGAGGTGAGTAGCATGGCCCCGCACAGTCGTGGGTGGCTGGGAGGTCTCGGACAGAACCAGTGTCCCCAGGACCCAGTGTCCTCGGCCCAGCTGCAGCTCTGGGGAGATGGGACCTCAGACCCCAGCAGTGTGACCCCAGGGCTTGGCCTCCTACAGGGGACCTGTTCCCACAGGTGGTCTCTGCTCTCAGCCACATAGAAGGCTGAGGCAGAAGGATCCCGGGAGTTTAGGGCTAGCCTCGGCTACAGTTTATCCTGGATTCTGGGAGCCAAAGCTCATTCACTGTGTCTGATGAGGGCCTGGGAGGGACTTCATGGCCTGTCCTCATCACTGGGAAGGCTCCACCTTTGGTTGTTGAGACAGGGTCTCTCTGTGTCCCAGGCTAGCCTGGGTCTCACTGTGTAGACCAAGTTGCTGGAACTCAAGGCTCCTCCCACCTCTGAGCCACTGTGCCCAGAGCGCCCCTTTTGCTATTGGCACGTCAGGAGTTAGGTTTCGGCGATTTTTAGGGTTTCCAGGACCTTGGGTACAAGCATGCCATCCCTCATGGCTGCTGTGCTGTGCCTGATGGTCTTCCGTCTCCCGTGTCCACTTTGTTCTCGCTTGCTCCTGGCAGCCGTGGTTTGTCCGTGTTTTTGATCACCTCTTCACGTATCAGAATAGACTTCCAGTATTTATGTTTTGTGTCACATTTGTACATGTATTTACTGTGTGTGTGTGTGTGTGTTTGTGGCTCAGGCAGCAGCTATGTAGAGGTCAGAGGACGGCTGTTGGGTTAGTTCTCCTACCGCAGGAACCCTGAGAGGTGAGTGTGTCAGCCACACTCACAGATGAGGTGACCGAGGCAGGGCGCACTAGGGCCAGTTAGCAGCATGCAGGACGGAACTGCACATTAGAAGGGAGACAGAGGCTAGGTTTGGTGCTACAGGCCCGGGATCCAGCAATTCAGGAGGCTGAGGCAGAAATGGGAGTTTGGGTCAGCCTGGGCTACGTAGAGAGTTCAAGGCCAGCTTGACCTATACAAGCCCTTGTTGTATATATACCTATATACCTATATAGGTATATAGGTTGTATACCTTACTTGTTTTTTTTCAAAAAAAAAAACAAGTAAGGGCCTGGGAGTCTAGCTTAGCTGGTAGGGCGCTTGCCCAGCGGGCACCAAGCCCCGGTTCAGCTCTCGCAGCACGCAGTGATGTACTCGAGTCGGTTAAGAGTGCTCAGAGCAGCCCTGAGGTCCCAGGCAGAGGCAGGCGGAGCTCCGAGTTCCAGGCCAGCCTTGTTCCGGAGAGACTTCCAAGACAGCCAGGGCTACACAGACCCTGTCCCAGAAAAACAAACGAGGGCTTATGGCTCCCGCAGGGGACCAGGTGGCTCACAGTTGCCTGTGACGCAGTTCAGGATATCTCGTGACCTCTCCCGGCCACTTTAGGCACCGCTGTAGGTGTGGAGCACGGAAGCTCATGTGGGCACACGTACACGAACGGACCTGAATGCGTCAGTCAGTCTCTGCGGTGCCCCTGCTGTAGCGACCTGTACTCCCAGCACTTGGGTGATGGAGGCAGGATTCAAGGTCCTTCTCCGCTACCCAGTGAGTTTGAGGCTAGCCTGGGCTCCATGAGCCCCTGCCTTAAGAAAATGTCAATCAGGAGCGAGGGAGCTGTGTGAGGAGCCCTTCAGGGTAAGTGCTGAGTCCTGACCCGGGTCAGCACAAAGCCTTCCTCTCCCATGTTGCTGGGCAGTCCTGGCTGTTCTGTGGAGGCCTCTGCTGCCATGACAGCATGACAGCCCCAGCATGACAGCTGCCTTTTCCGGTGGTTGGCTGGTCTTCCGTCTCACAGTCACGGCAGGGCCCTTTAGGAGCCTGCTCTGTGGGTGCTCTCCCGCAGGGCTCCAGCAGGTGGCAGTAGTGCTCTCAGCAGCCAGCTACCGCGTGAAAAGAAACAGGAGCACCTGTCCACTTTCCTGAAGTTTTTTTTTTGGGGTGGTTGGTTTAAAAGCTTTTTTTTTTTTTTTTTTTTTTTGACAGGGTCTTTGTATATCAGGCCAGTCTTGACCCACTGTGTAGCCAAGGATGACTTTCAACTCCTCATTCCCCTGCCTCCACCTCCTGAGTGCTGGGATTACAGGAGTGTGACACCGCTCTTGGGGTAGCCCAAGCCAGCCTTAAATTTGTGGCAATCCTCCTGTCTCAGCCACACAGAGCAGCCCCCAGTGCTCTGCTCTTCTTGCATGGAGAGCTCGGGGAAGCACTGGGGTCCCCGGCCCCTCACCGGGAGTGTGGAGGTCTGGCCAACAAGGCTGGGCCCGTGGCCCTGCTCCTCTCCTCACTTCTGCACCGTGTAGCCCACTGGGAGCTGGATTGCATGCCCTTCATGCCCCTCCCCTATTTGGGCCACTTTGTTCCATACAAGGTCTGAATTCAGCATCCAGGGACCAGACTTGGTGACAGAGATTCCTGGTGGTCCCTGGGGGTTTGTGGCCTCCCAGGGTGATGAGCAGAAAGAAGTGTGTCTGTCCATCTATCCGAGTCCTAACCTTCCACGTCACTCCTGAGCTCAGCGCACACGCCCACTGCCCCTGCCTCTTTCCATGGTCTCACCTTTCCTGGAAACTGGTACCAGCCAGTCTCCTACACGGCCACCCTCCCTGACGGTGTCTGCCTGCGATACCGTGGCATCAGGGTCTGGGCCCTGGCATGTGGCTGAGCTGACTCTGGACCTCTCTTTCTCTCCTCTCGGACCCGGCAGGCAAGGAGTCCTCTTAAGTCGCCTGCTTCCTTGGGCTCTCCCACTTGGCCCTGTTTCTTACCAGGCCTTGTAGGCCCTGGAGATGGGGGCCCCTGTGTCATCTGGTCTCATGATTTCCAGTGAGAGCTGGGCACAGTGGCACTGTGGAGGTCTAGCCTGCGCCATGTCTCACTAGCCTGAGACCCTAAGTCTCCTCCCAGCTTCGTCTCTGGGGAGCAGTCACATCTCTCAGGCACAACTGAAACCTTTTGGTGACAGACCAGCCAGTTCCTTGCCCAGCCTGGGCAGGTGTGACGCGGGTACTGTGCCAACCATCCCACCTCGTACCATCTTCCTGGGGGGTTGAGATTGGCTTCCTGGATTTCCTCCTCCTGTTCTGCTTGCTTTAGCCTCTGTTTGAGCTGCTTTAGCATCACCCAGGCATGCCAGCCTAAGTCCCGTGTAGGATTTTCCAGGTCCTGTTTCTTCCGTGCAGCATGGCCTGAGCCCAGGAGCATGCGTGATAGCCCCTGGCACAACCCCAGCCAGTAGCAAGGCCAGGGTAGGGAGGGCATGGCTGCTGCTTTCCCGGAGCAGCTCCCGACCCCACATCTGTGAGCCAGAGGCCCGTGTGAGTGTCGGCAGCCTCTGCCCTGAGGACTCAGGAGTCCCAGACCCCAGTGCAAGGCGCTGTCCTCCACTGTGGTGGCTGCAGCACTCTCTTGAGGACCAGTTGGCACTGCCTTCCCACGTGGGATCTTAAAGCGTGTTTGTGGCATATGGCCCTGGGAGGCCAGCTGGCTGCCGCAGCCCCTGTTGTGTTCCGTGTAGACAGGGAGCATTCTTTCCGTGTGCTTCCAGCTTGCCAGAACCGCACTTAGCAGCCCTCCCTCTGCTGCTGCGCTCTGGCAAGCCCTGGCCCGAGACAGCCCCGGGGGCCCGGCTCCCGGCTGAGTGCGCACACGTGGTTCCCCATGCCACGTGGTTCCCCATGCCAGGAGAAGGCTCAGTCTGCGTTGGTCTGCAGACCAGTGAGCTCAGATGGAGCAGGGAGCGCTCAGGGCAGTGGCGCGAGCCCGAACATCTCCAAGCACGGAACCAGGCCGGGGTGAGGCGCAGTTGGTAGAGTGATGGTCTGGCATGCACAGGGCCCGAGGCTCCGTCCCCAGCATGGCACAAACTGGGCTTGGCGGTGCAGGTTTACAGTCCCACATCTGGGAGAAGGAGGATCCAAAGTTCAAGGCTATCCTTGGCTACATGGCAAGTTTGAGGCCAACCTTGGAAACGCGAAATGTGAAGCCTGTCTCAAAAACTTAACAAACAACAAACAAGCAAAAGGGCAGGCTTTGCTCTGCTCTGTAGCCTGCACAGCTCCTGTAGATGATTGGTATCTGGGAAGCCATGGCTCAGTGCTGCTCATGGAAGCTCTGGAGTAGGCTGCTAGGGTGTGGACGACTGGCGCCTGCCATGTGGGTTTGCCTCCACTGGGAGAAGTGTGGCCTGGGTGCTGAGCTAGGTGGCTGCTGAGTTCCAGACCCGGAGAGCACAGCCAGAAGCCAGGATAAGATGGCCAGTGCACCTGGGCCCTACCGTGGTGTTGGCAGCATGTAGGGGTCAGTGAGGGACATGGAGGGACCACAGGCCGTTTCAGAGGGAAGAAAGTTGTCAGGTGTTTCATGTGGTAGATCTGTCCATCTGGACGTGGAGCCAAAGTTGCTGGGACCTGGAAATTCTGTCCTTGTCCCAGAATCTCCCGTTAGCCAGGTGGCAGTGGTGGCACGCTCCTCTAATTTCAGCACTGAAGAGGCAGAGGCAGGAGGATCTCTGTGAGTTCCAGGGCAGCCAAATCTACACAGAAACCCTGATTTCAAAAACAACAACAACAAAAGAAAGAACCCAGAAACAAAACCTCAACAAAACCCAAACCAAGCAACCAAAAAATGCAGAGCCTCCAGTTGTTTTGTTTTCATTTTTATGTGCTTGTGTGTCTGTGTATGTCCATTTGGGTCCAGTACCTGCAGAGGCCAGTAGGGGGTGCTGACTCCCCGTAGAACTGGAGTTACAGATGGCTGTGAATCACCATGTGGGGGCTGGGAATCCGACTCAGGTCCTATGCAGGAACAGCCAGTGTGCTTAACCACTGAGCCATAGTTCAGTACCCCCAGAGCCTCCAGTTTTCCAGACGAGCACAGAGTCGGGTCACATTGCTGCTCGGGTCAGTCAGTGCTGGTCTGAGGGTAGCAAGGTTGTGCCAGATTGTGTGGCAGCAGCCACTGCCTGCAGCAGCCCAGTGAAGAAGGGCATGGGGCGTGTCTCTGTCTGGTGCCGACCCTGTACCTCAGCTCTCGTCTGAATCTGTCTTTTCTTCTGAATCTTGTATGGGAGCAGTGTGAGGCAATGTTTAAGAAAAGTGGGGCAAGGTGTTTCCTGCTTTGGGCTCCTGAGGCTGCTAACAGGAGCTCCTCAGGCAGAGAGGAGCTAGCTTGAACATCAAGCCTACCAGAGCATTTTGCCTTCTCTCCCTACCCCTCATCTCACTACAAGTAGGTTCTGCTCCTGTTCTTGTTTGTTTTGTTCAAGACAGGGTCTCTCTATGTAGGCCTGGCTGTCCTAGAGCTCACTGTGTAGACCAGGCTGGTCCTGAACTCACAGAGATCCTCCTGCCTCTGTCTCCTGAATGCTGAGATTAAAGGTGTGCATCACCACGACCAGCTTGTTTTACATTTTAAGACAGAGTTTTTGTGTAGCCCAAGTAAGCATCAAACCTAGTATGTAGCTGAGGCTGACCTGAACCTCTGACTCCCAGCTCCATCCCCTGCCTGCTGGGACTACAGAAATACACCTGGTTGATAAAGTGCTGGCGACCGAACCCAGGGTTCCAAGGATGCGAGGCCGCCCCCCCCCCCCCCCCGCCTAGGAGCATGGCCAGCCTGGCAGCAACTGCCTTCTTTTTTCTATAGATTTCTTTATTTGTTTTGTGTACATGAGTGTTTTGCCTTCATCTATGTGTGCATCGTGTGTGTACCTGGTGCCTGCAGAAGTCAGAAGAGGGTGTTGGATGTCCTGGGCCAGGGCAGCCGTGAGCCACCGTGTAAGGACCGTGTAAGGACCGTGTAAGGACCGAAGCCAGGTCCTCTTTAAGGGCAGCCAGTGCTCTTGACTTCGGAGACATCTGTCCAGCCCCTGTTGCTGGGTTTTTGTTTATTTTTGAGACAGGTTTCTCTGTGTAGCCCTGGCTGTCCTGGAACTCAGGAGAGCAGGCTGGCCTTGAACTCAGAGATCCTGCCTCTGCCTCCAGCGCGCCGGGATTAAAGACGTGCGCCATCACTGCCTGGCCTGTGCTTCCGTATTATACTCATCAGTACTGTGTTCCTCAACTCTCCATGTTCCACACAGATGTTCCGAAGGCGTTAAACACTGTCCAGCCCCGCCCCCGGTGCCCACCAGCCTGCTTTCTGGCTCTAGGGATCTGCTGCGACTCTCTTCTGAGCTGAGGTGTGTCCTCAGCCCCCGCCTTCCCTGTTAACGGCTGATCTCTGGTTCAGTTTCCAGGCTGAGAGGCCCGCGTTGAATGTCATCATCTTTCCCCTGCTCCACGAGGGCCTGACAGATGTCATCCGAGATGTCCCCATGGTGCACCTGGACGAGATCACCTTATTTAAAAGCAGAGTGGCCGAGGAACCACCGAACCTGTGGTGGTGAGAGGGCCGCCCCGCCCCGCCCACCTGCCCTGTCAGCCACTCGGCAGAGCCTCCACAAGGGTCCGGGAGCCAGCAGACAGTGGGGCCTTGTTGTGTGACAGGAAGAGATTCCAGTTGTCCTGAGACATTCACTCCAGCCCCCTCGTCTCTCACTCACTCTTCTGAGTACCCGGGCTCAGTGACAAGAAGTGGTCAGGTGTCAGGAGGGCCATGGATGTGACGGAGTGGATGGGCCAGTCTGGTCTTCAGGGCCTGGCCATGCTCCCTGGGGCTCTGTGGGCTGTAGGCCCCCATCCACCAGCTTGCCTCAGCCCGGGGACTGTCCCTCTGCCCCTTCGTCCGTGGTCATCTGCAGTTGAGCTCAGTAATGTGACTGTACCCACACGGGGTCAGGGCGGGCGGGGTTCTCACTGTGAAATACCCAAATGGTCCTGTGAGCCTATGTCTCCTGCTCCTATTGAGACGGATTTCAGGTGTGGTCCAATGGCACAGCGCTCACCCAGTGTGCGTGTGTGAGGCCTGGATTCCATCCCCACCGCAAAGAAAAAGAAAATGTTTTAACCCAATGTGTCTCTGGGATGTTTTCAGCCCAAGGATGCCTGCGGCAGAGGGTCCCCTGGGGCGGGGACTGTAGGGTTGCTTCATCATCCCCAAGCTGAGCCTGAGGAGCTGGTCCAGGTGCGGTGGCGGTCTGAACGCTTCCTGGGAGCTCCCAGCCGCTGGCGTTGTTGGGATAGTTGAAAACGGTCGCAGGCAGAGGGGGCTGGAGAGTTAGGGTGCTGCTGAGTGAGCAGTGCGGCCCTGAGCCCCCAGTTCCATCCCCAGTAACGGCACACCCTGCGAGGTGGCTCACAGCTGCAATCCCAGCACTTAGGAGGTCAAGGCACGAGCTTGGGTTATCCTCTGCCACATAAGTGAGGTAGAGGCTAACCTGGACCAGGCAAGAGAAAAGTAGCTAGAGGACCCAGTGTCTGTGAGCTCACTCTGCCCCTCACAGTATCGAGTCTTGAGTCCCTAGAGGGGACTTGTGAGAGGGTTTCAGTCCACTGTGGACACTGGTCCAGACAGCTTCCAGTCTAGACATCGCTTGCTGGTGAGGACCCTTTGGTGAGCTGGCCTTTGGGGTTGCGCCTGGCAGCTGGAGCCTGGGAGACCTGGGGCTTCCGACCCGGCTCTGGGGACAGTGTTAGGGAAACAGCCCTCAGGCCCAGGCCCCAAGAAACGTGCCTCTGCCTGGCCCCTTGCCTTTCCAGGGCCTGCGCTGCCGTGTCCTCCCTCCTCGGCCAGTCTCTCTTTCTTAAACATTTGTTTCTTCGTATTTTATGTCCATTGGTGTTCCGATTGTACATATCTCTGTGTGGGGGTGTCAGATCCCCCGGAACAGGAGGTGCAAACAGGAGCTGCCATGTGGGTGCTGGGAATTGAACCTGGGTCCTCTGGAAGAGAAGCCAGTGCTCTCAACCACAGAGCCAGCCCTTTAGCCAGTCTCTTGCCAGAGGGAATCCTCCAGAGCCCCAGGTGCCTCTCCCTGCCCTTGTAGCTGAGTGACCTTGACTCCTAGCTAGAGGGATCGCTCTGCCCGGAGGCTGAGCCCCAGGGCCGCCCACCCGACCCCGGAGCCCTCGCCCTCGCCCTCACAGACCTTCGGTCCTTCCTGGCATTGTAGGTCATGGGGTCGGCTGCCGAGGGCCAACCCCTGTAGGCAAGGAAGCCAGAGGTGGCGGAACCCCCTCCTTCAGAGCACTAAACTCCACACCCCGATGGCCACCATGGGCTCTCCAGCGCCAACTGCTGCACGTCCCAGCTCTGATGGAAGCAGGCTGCTTGGAGGTGTCAGGTCCCTGTGACAGCCTTCGTCAAGGGCAGTCGCCTCGGCTGAGGGTGGTGACAGGCTGGAATCCCAGCCCTCGGGAGGCATTTACGTCCAGAAACTGGGCAGGGGGAGGAGGGTCTGAACACAGGAGCGGGGGGGGGGGGATACAGACCTCCCAAGGAAGCGCCCCAACTAGTATTCTTAGCGTCTCCTGCGCCGGTGCTTTGACCTGAAATGAGAATTTTTCTCCCCCGCCACCGGGGACGGCGTCCTCCAGATGTCCATAGCGCGCTTATTTTCGCTAAGTGCTATTTTGGCCCCGGTGTTAATCGAAATTTATAGCCTGCAGCATTCGACGCCGGGAAAAGAACCCACCCTAATGGTCCCAGATGGGCGGGACTCGGCTGTTAAGTGGCGGGCCATATGCTGCCTGCCGTGAGCATGGCAAGCGCTGGTGTGAGCGCTCGTGCCGGCACGTGGGGAGTGTGTGTCTGTGTGTGCTTGCACCTGCCCGTGCGTAGACGGATACCTGTATGTGCCTGTGCGCATGCCTGCGAGCCTGGGTTAGAGAAGGTAGAGAGGAGAAAGGGGGGTGGATTCATCCTGTGTAAGCAGAAATCTCCTGGCCTCCCAGCCCTGCCGGCTCTGTCTCCACCTCCTTCACACTTGTGGGGCTCGGGGGCGGGGGGATTAGTTTGTTTTTTTTTTTTTCAAGACAGGGTTTCTCCCTTGGCTGTCCTGGACTCACTCTGTAGACCAGGCTGGCCTCGAACCCACAGAGACCCGCCTGCCTCTGCCTCCCGAGGGCTGGGACTAAAGTTGTGCACCGCCACGCCCAGCTCCTTCTCTTCTGAACACTCCGTGTGCACGCATGCGTGTCGGTGTCAGGTCTGTGTGCCGCAGCGCTCGTGTAGAGGGAGCGGACATCCCGGGTGTTCGGGTGTCTCCGTTCAGCCTCTACCTTGTTTGGGGAAGGTCTCTTGTTCAATGTTGAATACACCAGGCTAGCTGGCCCATGAACTCCCGGGAATCCTCCTGCCCCTACCTTTGTCTCTCCATGGTAATGAGAGAGCAGTGTGCTACCACGTCCGGCTTCCTGTGGGCTCTGGGGATCTGAACTCAGGTCCTCAGGAAACAAGGACTTTACCCACCAAGGCATCTCCCCAACCTGCTTTCCTGGTTTCCAGGGGGAGGAATTTTACTGGCCAGAGTGAGAGGTGCTTTGCTTTTAAATGACAAGGACAGGCTCCTTTCTGCCAGTGGCCCTTGGAGGCCCCATAATAAGGCCATGAGATCCAGACCCAGGCTGTGGCCAGAGACCAGACACCGAATCTACTAGGGGTCTCACATTTGGGCCTCGGGGCAGATTCGGTGCCCATCAACTGTGTCAGACCCGGAGTTAAAAGCTAATCGCTTAGCAAGATGTTGGGTGCTGGGCAGCTGGGCTGTGGGTGCTGAGGGCAAGGCCACACCCCCAAGAAGGATGGACAGCTGCCCTCACACTTCCTCCAGCCTTGAAGAACTGGAAATTGCTGAACTCTTCTAAGGGAAAGTAGAAGAAGCCAAGTGTGATGGGGTGTACCTGTCCTCCCAGCCCTCAGGAGGTGCAAACAGGGTCAGGAGTTCAAGGCCAGCTTTGGCTCCGTAGTGAATCTGAAGCCAGCCTGGGCTGTGTGAGGTCCTGTGTCAGAAGAGATGGGGGTTGGCTTTTGAATGGGGCATGAAGAAATGAGAGGAAATTTTGAATGGGGCATGAAGTGTGGCTGCAGGCTGTGGCCCTAGGCTCTGACCTTTCCTGTGAGTGTGACCAGTTCATGGGTACTGACGATCCTTAGTAGCATCTGCCGTGCTGTTGTGCGGTTTTTGACTGCTCTCGTGTGCATCCGGGGCTGCAGGATACGATGGAAGTTTCCAGGCTCTGTGTCAGTACTGCATGCGGTTCTGGACCAGGCACGGGTCCTACATTTTCTGCTTAATGGCAGCACCCACAAATCTTTGGGGGACCAGGGGTGAGTGGGCCTTTCTTTGACATCATCAGTCCGAGAGCTTGGCTGTACCTGCCCTGCCCTCTGCTCACACCACCCCCCCCCCCAGGCTGGATCTGGCAGAGCCGTGCTGTTCAGGGAGGCCGGGGTCCCTGAAGCTGCCGCTGCCGCTGCTGGCCCAGATCCTCTTCAGAACCTGGGCGGGGAGCCACAACCCCAGCAAAGCCCTGACCTCAGTGCTGACAAGGTGATCGTGGGTTATTGTGCAAGGGATGTGTGTGCGAACAAGGGTCCCCACAGCAGGAGGAGCGCGCACACGTCTGTAGGCGTGTCTGTGTGTGTGCCCAACAGCACACATCCAGGTAGCGCTCAGCGTACAGCGTGCCACGGCTGGCTGGGGCGTGTTGTGTGTGGCTTTCCCCAGCACCGTTAGAGCTGGGTGTTTAGTGATGGGTCGAGGGCCTTACGACCAGGTGCTCAGTGACCGCCCTGAATCCCGTCCCGCTGGGAGGGCTGCCCGTGGCTGGTGGTGTCTGGTAGTGACGCCCGCCCAGATGCCACTATGGTGCTGACAAACTGCATTCTGAATGGGTGTTTTTATGTAAATCTGTGGCATGCGGAAAATCTCAAATAAACTGAACTTGATTTAGAAAGCAGGCAACTGTGTGGTCCTTCCCGCAGGGACTCCTGACTGCCCACGTGTGGCCTGCTTCAGAGTCACAGTTTGGGGTGGGGGGGTCCTTCATTCTTTTTTGAGACAGGATCTCGTGTAGCCTAGGCTGGCTTCAGACCTGACCCGTAGGCAACGCTAGGCTAGCCTTGGATTCCTGATCCTGCCCCTGCCGCCCGGGTGCTGGGTATCTGGCTGTGGATATCGGTGTTAAGGGTTGACCTTGACCTCAGCGGAGCCCTGTGGCAAAAACACCCACATGTGGCCCCCTCTGGGCTAGCTGGGCTTCCTTACAACATGGCAGCCAGACTGAAGCCCAAGCATTCCGAGAAAACAGCAAGATGGGTTCAGCTTCGGGTCTCACCATTGTCCCCTCCACTGCTGATGGGCAGTCACAGAGGTCTGCAGAGGCGGACACGAACTACCCCAGTGTCCATCGGTCTTAGGGTCTCACTGTGGAAGACCTGGTGGGCTGGGAGGCAGGACTGGGCCCATATTAGGAAGGACATCTGTGTGCACCCTGGGCTTGCCAGCCTAAGCAGAGCAGAGGCTGTGGCATGGCTGTAGGGTCTGTGTGGAGAGAGCATTGCCTCCCTAACCAGGGTCCATCTGTGCCACTATGGCAGCCATGGGACCATGGGCTGTGTGGAACACTCCCAAGAGGCCAACTACCCTTGGAGTTGGCTGGGAGGGTGAAGCTGCCTGGCCTTTGTCACACACACACACACACACACACACACACACACACATTGGGCTGGAGAGATGGCTCAGCAGTTAAGCATTGACTGCTCTTCCAGAGGATCTGGGTTCAATTCCCAGCATCTACATGGCACTGTCTGTAACTCCAGTTCCAGGGGAATCTGCACCCTCACACAGACAAACATGGAGGCAAGACACCAATGTACATAAAATGAAAATAAATCACACACACACACATACACACACACAGAATGAAAGAAGTGCAAGGCACGGTGCCACACATCTTTAATCCCAGCATTTGGGAGGCAGGCAGATCGCAAGTTCAAGGGCCTGTCTATTCCAAGACAACCAGGGCTACACGCAGAAACTTTATCCAGAATGAGAGAAACAGAGATGAGC